CTGCCATGCTTATGATGGCAAATAATATTAAAATCTTCCTTCAAAAAAAAAAAAAAAAAAAAAAAAAGATACCTGGGAAGACATTGCATTTGAGGTGCTTAGAAATTAGAACATTAAGTCTATTGGCCTCATGACTCGATGGCATGCATGCCTTCCACCAGCCAACATCCAGCCATCATTTTATTGTTGTCGGAGGAGAGAGAGAGAGCTCTTGGTTACGTTTACTCGTTAAGCAGTTTAAGTTTCATTTCATAGCTTAAGGTTAAAAGACAAAATATTATATTTAACGGTTTGGGAGAATGAAATAAAAACGAGGCAGGATATAAGGTTAGATAGAGAGAGGGAGAGAGCTATGAGCGGCCATCATGGCCGATATAAGAAATACTCTTCAATTGAAAAAAAAATTTTAAAAAAACGAGGCTGGGGATAAGGATAAAAAACCAACAGAGAGAGAGGGTGGGGGAGAGAGAGAGGAAGGGAGAGAAGAGGAGAGAACTATGAGCGGCCATCATGGCCGATATAAGAAATACTCTTCAATTGAAAAAAAAAGTAAAAATTCTGTTTAAACGGCAATTTAACAATTCACGTTGGGCGCCACAACCCACATGAAGCCCAACATCTTTTGAATTCGAAAAAAAAATATTACCCAGCTGAGTATAGAGCGGAATGAGATAAGGTAGATACAAGTAAAAAAAAATTAAATTCGACCGGGCCAAACTTTTAATACCCTCCACCTTAGGGTAAGGGAAAAACAGGGAAAAAATGTGGCAAAAACCATTAAAATACCGAATATCGTTATATGGGGGCTATACCAAAACGTGGACCCTTGTATGCAATGTTTCGCCACCGGAGCTGGAACCCATTATGACCGACAAATACCAATTTTCAGACAAATCCGTGAAAAAAATGTGGCATAAATCATGAAAATACCGAATATCGGGAGGTACTGATATATGGGGGCTATCCCTATTCGTGGACCTATACTTGCAATGTTTTGCCACACGCACATGGAACCGTTGTGACCTACAAATACCAATTTTCAGACAAATCCGTGAAAAAAATGTGGCAAAAAAAAATTAAAATACCGAATATCGGGAGGTACCGTTATATGGGGGCTATACCAAAATGTGGACCTATACATGCAATGTTTTACCACACGAACTAGGACCCATTATGACCTACAAATACTAATTTTTAGGCAAATCCGTGAAAAAATGTGGCCAAAAAAATTTAAATACCGAATATCGGGAGGTACCTTTATGTGGGGGCTATACCAAATCATGGACCCATACATGCAATGTTTCGCCACCGTAGCTGGAACCCATTATGACCGACAAATACCAATTTTCAGACAAATCCGTGAAAAAATTTGGCAAAAATCATCAAAATACCGAATATCGGGAGGTACCGTTAAAGGGGGGTTATACCAAAACGTGGACCTATAATTACAATGTTTTGCCACACGCACAGGGACCCGTAATGACCGACAGATACCAATTTTCAGATAAATCCGTGAATAAATGTGGCATAAATCATGAAAATACCGAATATAGGGAGGTACCATTATAGGGGGGCTATACCAAATCATGGACCCATATATGTATTGTTTCGCAACACGCACAGGGACCCGTTATGACCGACAAATACCAATTTTCAGACAAATCCGTGAAAAATGTGGCAAAAACCATCAAAATACCGAATATCGGGCGGTACCTTTATATGGGGGCTATACCAAAACGTGGACCTATACATGCAATGTTTTGCCACATGCACAGGGACCCGTTATAACCGACAAATACCAATTTTCAGATAAATCCGTGAAAAAATGTGGCATAAATCATCAAAATACCGAATATCGGGAGGTACCGTTATATGGGGACTATGCCAGAATGTGGACCGATATATCTCATTTTCAATACCAACTATCCTAGACACAATACAAATTACTCTGCTAAATTTTGGCGCTCTACGTCAAATAATGTGGGCTGTATCGTGATTTCAACAGACAGACGAACAGACAGACGGACGGACAGACAGACGGAGATCGCTAAATCGACTTAGAATTTTATGCTGATTATGAATATATATATACTTTATGGGATCTACGACGAATATTTGGGGTGTTACAAACGGAATGAACGGAAGTTAATATACCCTCCTTTCCAAGGTGGAGGGTATAAAAAAAGAACCAAGAGCGGGAGAGGAAGAGAGAAGGAGAGAGCTATGAGCGGTCAACATTGCCGAAAAAGGATATACCCTCTCTGCGAGAGAGGGAGCGAGAAGGAGAGAGCTATTAGCGATCAACATTGCCGAAAAAGGATATACCCTTCAGCTGAAGAAGGATATCAACAATTCTCTTTATGTGGCACTTTAACATTTATTGTTGGGCGCCACAACCCACATGAAGTCCAACATCTTTTGAATTTGAAATAAAATATTACCCAGCTGAGTATAGACCCGGAATATAGACCGACTCCCATGTTTTTTGGATGGACAAAATCATATTTTGATGTTCAACGCATTATGGCGCCCAACGTAGAATTGAAAAAAAAGAACCAATAGTGAGAGAGGGAGAGAGAAGGAGAGAGAGCTATGAGCGATCAACATTGCCGAAAAAAGATATACCCTTCAGTTGAAGAAAAAATTGCTCTTTATGTTGCACTTTAACATTCCACGTTGGGCGCCACAACCCACATGAAGCCCAACAACTTTTGAATTTGAAATTAAATATTTTGCAGCAGAGTATAGACCCGGAATATAGACCGATTCCCACGTTTTTTTGATGGACAAAATCATATTTTGATGTTCAATGCATTATGGCGCCCAACATAGAATTGAAATCTATCGAATCGGTTTTCTCATTAAATTGCTTACAATTCCTTGAAATATACTTAGCCAAAACTGCACTCTAAGTAAGCAAAATGATCGAGTTCCATGTTGGGCGCCACTTATGCCAGCCCATACGATGCCAAACCTATGTTACATTCCCCATAAAATTTTCTAACACCAGCTAGAAGTAGGTCCATTTTCATGGCTGTTTATGGAGGAATTAATATTTCCTGAAAAATGAAATATTGCGCCCAATGTGGGGCCGAGGAACCACCGATCCCGTAAGGTGTCCCTTTAAATTCTAGACATCTTTACAATTCATTGGATCGTTTACCTCATTAAGTTACTTCAAATATTGCTCAGCCAAAAATGTAGTCTGAAGTGAATGATCGAGTTTCACGTTGGTACAGGACCACAAAATACCCTACCAATTACCTAATCTAATTTGAATTCACCATAATTTTCTAACGCTGAAACCAGTCGAAAGTAGGCCACTTTTCTTTGCTTGTTATGGAAAGTCCATTTTCATGTTTTTTATGGAGGAATTAATATTTCGCTTATATATGTAATATGGCGCCCAATGTGGGGCCGAAGAACTAACGATCCCGTAAGGTGTATCTTTAAGTTCTAGACATCTTCAAAATTTATTGGATCGATTACCTCATTAAGTTGCTTCAATTATTCTCGGCAAAAAAAATTAAAGGATCGAGCTTCACGTTGGGCCCCATTTTTACAGGACCATGCAATACCCTTCCAATTCTCTAACCCAATTTAAATTTACCAACATTTTCTCACGTTGAAACCAGTCGAAAGTAGGTCCAGTTTCTTAGCTTGTCATAGAAAGCCCATTTTTATGGATTTTAATGGAGGAATTAATATTTCGCTTATATATGTAATATGGCGCCCAATGTGGAGCCGAAGAACTACCGATCCCGTATGGTTTCCCTTTAAGTTCTAGACATCTTCACAATTTACTAGATCGATTACCTCATTAAGTTACTTCAAATATTCTCAGCCAAAAATGTGCTCTAAATGATAGAGTTTCACGTTGGGCGCCATTTTCACGGGACCCTGCAATATACCCTTCCAATTCCTTAACCCAATTTGAATTTACCAACATTTTCTCACGCTGAAACCAGTCGAAGGTAGGCCGATTTTCTTTGCTTGGAAAGCCCATTTTCATGGTTTTTTTGGGGAAGTTAATATTTCGCTGAAAAATGTAATATGGCGCCCAATGTGGGGCCGAAGAACTATCGATCCCGTATGGTTCCCTTTATGTTCTAGACATCTTAACAATTCATCGGATCGATTACCTCATCAAGTTACTTCAAATATTGCTCAGCCAAAAATGTACTCCAAGTAAATAATCGAGTTTTACGTTGGGCGCCATTTTCACGGGACCATTCAATACCCTTCCAATTCCCTAACCTCATTTGAATTTGAATTCACCATAATTTTCTGACGCTGAAACTAGTCGCAAGTAGGTCCAGTTTCTTGGCTTTTTATGGAAAATCCGTCACTAAGTAAAGTCAAGATATGGCCGAATAAATGTTGCCACAAATAGGGGTGCTTTCGTGTTCTCTTTTTAGGTTGGTGTTTACGTCAAAACGTAAACCATTTTCACTTTCTTAAATTGTATCTTAAATATGAATAGCACCATTGTTAGTGTACTATCCATTCGAACTGTTATCGAAGTTAAGATAAATATGCTATGTTTTTCCTTTTCCCATTTCCATACTTTCTTTTATCGGCCTTCTCTAATGGCCATATTGGGAGTCTAATTTCCGCATTATCTTGGATTCTATTCTAATTCGACTCTTGAACCTTACAGTCCAAATCCAGTTCAATCCTAATAAAAAGAATTCTAAAAGAACTAAGTATAAAAGCTTTTTTCATTACTCTGGATTTGGGTTCCAACCGTTTTCTACGTTTCTGCCAGTTACAACGATCTAGATAAAAACTGGTCTTGGATATTGTTTGGGCTCCAGAGAGCAAGTTTGTCCACCATCACACTCACGGTAGCTGCTTCCAAAGCTTTACCAGGCAATTCAGCCGTTTGCCTGAACATTTTGGTCCACGTCGAACCGGATCGACAAGCTGCTCTCCGGAGATTTCAGCTGCAGAAGCTTTTGATACCTAGAGGTATGTTTCTTGTTAGTTTATTTCGTATCATCAGTACAAAAAAAGAAGTCGAAGATCGCATTTAATCTCGCACAAATTACAAAGTTCGGTTTTTTCACATCATCAAAATATACATAATTAAAACAAATACTACAATTTGAATATAAAACTATATTTGGAGACCTGGCTATCTTCCCAACTATCTTAGCTCAGAAGGTAATATCAATAAGGAGGAATACAATTGGCAATTGTGGAATTACCAAGAGGAATTATAAGAGGATTTCGGATTCCAGCATATGCTACCTGTCTTAAGCCAAGCAGAGGATTGTGCGTGAGTTAAAAAAATAATAATTTCTTAAAAAGATCCTTTTAAAAAATTTTCTAACTCAATGAATCTGTAAAAAGGAAATCTCACGTGAAAGTTCAAGGAAAAAATAGTGTGAAAAAAGATTCAAAATAAGTGAGGAAATTTGTTTGAACACAGAAAATTTTGCACTTTAATGTAACATATATAAGGCTGTTGAAATAAAAAAACGTGTTCTGTAGAACTATGTTAATAACAGAGGCATAACATTTATCTACAACAGCAGCACTGTTAGCTATTTGTTATCAGAACGTCTTTCTGTTGTATCAAATGCAGTTTATGTTTACATGGTAAATCTATTGGAAGATGTGTCTCAGTTCTCGGAGAACACGACTTTATTTATCATTCAGACACTCATAATACACATGTGAAGTGAGCAACCTCTATGCACGATCTCTTCCATACTGTTGTTCACTCGTCTTGCATTGTCCATTCCATTCTCTTTCCCAGCGCGCATGTCCACTGAGTACATGCTCTTATGTATGGATGTTGAGATCCAAGCTTGCCTTGTTCTCTTAAGTTATTTTTCAGCTTACCTTCGCCTTCTGTGGTCCGAGTGAGCATATGCTACTCTTGTGCATGTATGTGGTGATCAGAGCTTGCACACGTCTCTTAACTCAGTTTCAGCATCACTCTCTTCTTTTCTATTGTTCGAATGCGCATGTCCACTGAGAATGCGCTTCTCTCGTGCATGCTGAAACTAAAGCTCAACTCATCGTTCTCTTCCTCAGCCACATACATCCAATTGCTACCAATGTTTACATTCTCTGCTTTGAGTGCGCATGTCCAATGAGAATGCGCTAGTCAATTGTGGGTGAGATTACAACTCAATCGTGTTGTTGTATCATTGCCGTGTAACTACTACTGCAGAGTTTGAGTTCTCCACTCAATCAGTTGTTACATTTGTGTTCTTTTCTCTATTTATTTTTTACGTGTCATTCTCGCTGTTTGAGAGTCCGACACATACCAACGGAGGATTGATTGCTCAGAGCGGAGCATATCATTCCAAATTATTCCATTTATTCCAATTCTTCCAAATTCTTTCCACTTACATTGAGTTCAATGAACTCTTGAACGATCAGCTGCTTTTCTACTTTGGCAAAGTCGTGTTTTTGCTTGTGATGTATCTGAAGCACATTTCGAAGCAATTAGATAAAAATATTTATATCTGGATACCATCGCACAGTGGTACCAAATATCACTTTTCCACAATAATTAAAAAATTATACACTTGTCGTTATTTCCACTTTATATTGAAAATTAAATAAATTAATTGTAATAATTCAGAATTATTTAATTGAAGTTAAAAAAAATAATAATAATTAATCGATATTTGAGAAAAAGTTAATAATTAGTAAAAAATCAAGTACATTATTTAATTGAAATTTTAAACTCAAGAGACTAGTTAATTATTGGGAAAAAATTAATTGAAATGAAATATACTATTCTACTGATACTAAAATAAAGAAAAACTTCTACTTGAATTAAAAATAGTAATAATTAAAACTTTAACTCAAATTAAAGGAAATAATTAAGTAATTAAAAAAAATAAATACAATAAAATTACAAAAATATTCCACCAGTGGAATTTGAAATTAATAATAATACATAAAACAATCTCCTGTTCGTTTCAAGTTGGTTTTTCCTAAAACAGCATTCAATTGGTATCCGTACTTTATACCAGGACATTTTATGCTATTTTTGCATCATTTTCAAATTTGCGCATCATTTTCAAATTTGGAACATACGGTGAACTCAGCTTGTTGTTTCTTTCACCAGTCCTAGTTGCCTACTCCGATATAACCACTTATCTGAATAATCTTTATTCATTCATTTTCTTGCCTTTGATCCACCAAACTTCTTGCTTGTAGTCATGTCACTCGACAAATTCATTCGCCTAGCTGACAGCTTGGTAGAATTTGAAGCGGCACTTATTGCCAATGAGTTTCCTCTAACAACTCGTTGTTTGCTGGAAACCCACACTGAAGAGGTGAAATCCACATGGTCACATCTTAAACAAGCTTATGAGCAATGTCTGGCGGATTTGGAAAATGAAGAAGAAGATGAAGAGGTGTCTGATGATCGAGAAACCAATGAGGTAGCGACAGTAAAGGATAAATATAAAAAATCCTACTCCACTTACTGTCGTTGTATCTCAAAGCTCAATGAAGCTCTGGAACCTCTCTCTCCTTCCTCTTCTAGTCCAAGTTTACGGTCCAGTAACTCTTTTAACTTGCCTCCAATTGAGTTATCCACATTCCATGGGGACTACAAATCCTGGCCAAGCTTTCGTGACATGTTTACGGCCATTTGCATACGCAATTCCAAATTAAGCCCAGTAGAAAAATTGTTCTACCTAAGTCAGAAGACCAAAGGTGAAGCACACGACATTGTTAGGAAAAGTCCTTTGACGAATTCCGGATTCACCTTAGCGTGGAACAATCTATGTTCCAGGTTTGAGAACAAACGAGTGCTGGTTAATGGCCAACTAAAGAATTTATTTTCACTTGTCAATATTCATACAGAAACTGCAATATCCATCAAGAAGCTTCAAAGAGATATCAATTCTTGTATATCCACTCTAAAGCTTTATGATGTTGACGTTGAAAGCTGGAATCCGATTTTCGTGTTCATTTGTTCCAACTGTCTTCCAGATTCTACTTTAACTTTATGGGAACAAACACTCTCGGATAAAACCAGCATTCCAAAATGGTCTGAATTGGATATATTTCTTACCAACCGGTATAGAACATTGGAGGCTGTCTCTGAAACGAGAAGTTCTTCTGATTCCAAGTCCAAAGGGGATAAGTCCAGACCTTTAAATACAAAGAATCAGAAGGACAGGCTTCAGACATACCAAACCAACGTCAACAAAACTAAATGTCGATTGTGTTCCAATGAATTCCACATAATAAGGAAATGTCCTCGGTTCCTAGCATTTAATTACGCACAGAGATTGGCGGAAATAAAGGCCAGCAATCTCTGTCTAAATTGTTTTTCCAGCTCCCATGCTGTCAAAAATTGTAAAAGCAAAAATTCTTGCTTCAAATGTCAAAAACGACATAATACTCTCCTCCATAAGGATGCTGAGCAACAAAATATACCCATTAGTACTTCTCCTTCAGCTTCCAATACACCACTTCAAACGCCTAGGACATTTGCATTCCAAGCTTCTCCAAATTCCTCCATACAGTCCACTAACTCTTCAACCGATGTTATTCAAAATTGTTTCGCGGTTAATTCAAACGGCGTTTTGCTTGGTACCGCTGTAGTAAAAGTTATTCATGCAGGTGTTGGTTATATAGCGAGGGCCCTCATAGATTCAGGTTCAGAAGGTACCTTTATATCTCAAAACCTTGCCAATGCCCTCAGGTTACCTTCCAAACCTACATCCGCTATCATATCAGGCCTTAATAACACGGTTTCAGCTGCTGTTCAAAAAGAATGTCGCTTTATCCTGGGCTCCTATGCGGATAAAGCTTTCGAGATCGATGTTTCAGCCTTAATTGTGCCTCATCTTTCTAATAACCTTCCAACCTGCACAATAGGGTCTGATATTCTCTATTCGCTACCAAAGTTAGACTTAGCTGACCCGTATTTTTACCGAAGCTCCAAGATTGATATCCTAATTGGCGCAGATTTACTTCCTTCTGTCATGTTATCTGGGTGCCAGCGAGCGATTTGCGGATCCTTATTCGCCCAGGAGACCGTATTCGGATGGATCCTCACTGGCCCCATTCCAACCAAAGCTCCAAAGTCCTTCTCTACATGTGTATCGTACTTCTGCGAAATTGCTTTAGAAAAAAGTCTTCTGAAATTTTGGGAGGTGGAGAATATTCCACAACAGCGTGTAATGTCCAAAGCAGATAGACAATGTGAAGAAATTTATCAGAGAACGACAACTAGAGATGGGAATGGAAGGTATACTGTTTCGCTTCCGTTTAAAGACGAATATTCCGATTCACTAACCTTAGGTCAGTCGAGAAAAGGTGCGATGGCCCAATATATTCGGAATGAAAGTCGTCTGCTAAAAAATCCAGAATTGAAAAGAGAATATGATCTTAATATTGAAGAGTACGTCAAACTAGGACATATGATTCCTGTTCTACCTCCTACAATCTCAGAATTTCCCGATCATTACTATTTGCCGCATCATGCTGTTGTGAAGCCAGATAGTTCTACCACTAAAGTCCGTGTGGTTTTCAATGCTTCTTACGCAACATCGAATGGTACAAGTCTAAATGACGTTTTGTACACTGGTCCAGCCTTACAGAACGACTTGACTATTCTCATCCTTAAGTGGCGTTTTTATCGCTATGTTTTCAGTGGTGATATAGAGAAAATGTATCGCCAAATCCTTGTGTCTCCTTCTCACACCCACTTTCAGAGAATCCTGTTCCGCCAGAATCCAACTGAACCAATAAAGGATTACGAGTTGAAAACTGTAACCTTTGGTGTTAACTGTGCACCGTATCTTGCGATACGTACGATGATTCAACTAGCCAATGACGTCCATGATTCATATCCATTAGCTAGTCATGTTTTGAAGAATTGCATGTATGTGGATGATGCCCTTGCAGGGGCACATGACATACACACAGCAATTTCAACCGTACGTGAATTAATCCTATCTCTGAAGTCCGCAGGATTCAACATGCGAAAATGGACCTCCAATTCAACAACAATTCTCTCGGACTTGTCACCCGATGATCTTCTTAATGATGGCTTTTTAGACTTTAACGCACATTGTGCAGCTAAAATGTTAGGCATTCGTTGGAATGCGTATTCTGATCAGTTTTATTTCTCCTCCATTGCATTTTCTCCCCATACTTATACCAAACGAGAGGTTCTTTCCCAAATATCAAAACTATTTGATCCTGCTGGCTGGATTTCGCCGGTCATTGTATTAGCCAAGATAATTATGCAAAAAATATGGCTAGATAAAGTGGGTTGGGATGAAGAGATATCACCAGAATCAATTGACTTATGGAAAGCATTTCAGTCTTCATTTTCTTCCATCAATGAGATTCGTGTTCCACGTTGGTTTAACTTTGTCCCAGACCATGAAATTGAATTCCACGGGTTTTCGGATGCATCAGAAAGGGCTTATGCCGCAGTACTATACATTCGAATTGTTTCTCCAACTACTGTGTACACCCACTTAGTGGCTTCCAAAACGAAAGTAGCACCGATTAAGTCCCTATCTATTCCTAGACTGGAATTATGTGCAGCTACTCTCCTTGCTGAGCTAATTGACAATTTAGTGCCTCAATTCGACGTTCACCGTCACTCATTACATTGCTGGACGGACTCCACCATTGTGATTTCATGGTTAGCAAAACAACCATGTCATTGGAATACTTTTGTAGCAAATCGAATTTCTAAAATCATCCAAACTGTCGATCCACCAAAATGGCACCACGTCAGTTCAGAGGACAACCCCGCCGATCTCGCGAGTAGAGGTGTCTATCCACAGGATCTAATCCAAAATGATCTTTGGTGGAGAGGTCCTGCATGGTTATCTGAATTTGACACTCCTTGGGAAAATTACTCTAATCAAGATGTCCAACCAACTGAATTAGAGAAGAAGTCGGTAAAGACACATTTTGCATATTTCGAAAACTTCCACGATTACTTAACGAATTTTTCTTCCTACCCAAGAGCTCTAAGGATTATGGCGTATGTATATCGTTTTATAAATGGTACTCATCCACGATATAAGACCAATAATAGACGTTATGGTAACGTCATAGAAGCTCAAGAAATCATCCATGTTCGCTCAAAGCTGATATCCATATACCAAAGGCTATTTTACCCAAATGAGTACATGGCGCTGAGTATCCAAAGACCGATTCCTTCTTCTAGTAAACTATTGAGTTTGAATCCCTTCTTAGATTCCGAAGGTCTAATGCGAATTTGCGGTCGACTTGAAGTATGTCCAGAGTTATCCTACAACGAGAGACATCCTATAATTGTTCCATACAACTGTCAATATTCCAAACTATTAGTCCAATATATCCATTTGATAAGTCTACACGGGGGCAATCAACTTGTCCTCCGATTGGTCCGTACACAATACTGGATACCAAAGGTTCAAAATCTTATAAAATCCATTATACGAAATTGCAAGATCTGTGTCATATATAAGAAAAGATGCCAAAAGCAGTTGATGGCTGCATTGCCTCCAGAAAGATGTGAAATATCCCGACCATTCACACATACCGGTTTGGACTTTGCAGGACCTTTTGATATCAAGAGCTATACTGGAAGATATTGTCGGATTACCAAAGGATATGTGTGTGTGTTTGTCTGTTTTTCCACAAAGGCAATTCACCTTGAAGCAACATCCGACTTATCCACATCCAATTTTCTGGCAGCTTTTAACCGTTTTGTTTCCCGTCGTGGGTGTCCACTCCATTTGCACTCTGATAACGGAACTACGTTTGTCGGAGCTTCCAAGAGGATCGCAAAGGATTTTATCGATACCTCGAATCAAGCTCTAATGTCCAATTACGCCCACCAAAATTTGACATGGCATTTCATACCTCCCGGAGCTCCTCATATGGGTGGACTCTGGGAAGCCGGCGTAAAAAGTTTCAAACAACATTTCCGCAAAATTGCTGGCAATACAAAATACACATACGAAGAATTTCAAACCTTGCTGACTAAAATTGAGGCGTGTCTAAACTCTAGACCAATATCCCCATCTTCTCAAAGCCCATCAGATTTCACCGCATTGACTCCTGGACACTTTTTAATCGGTTCTCCTATACTATCTCTCTTAGAACCAGAAATTTCCCAGTCATCCATTTCTATTCAAAATCGCTGGCAACGAATCCGATCAATGTATCAACATTTTTGTAGCAGGTGGAAGACTGAATATCTGAAGGAACTTCATAAAAGGACTAAATGGAAAAGTCCAGAACGCGATGTCGAAGAAAATATGCTGGTGGTTATTCAGGAAGAAAATCTCCCTCCGACCTGTTGGCGTTTGGGCAGAGTGGTTCGTGTCTATCATGGCAATGATCAGAAAGTGCGCGTTGCTGACATTCTCACTCAGAAGGGAAGAATCACCCGGCCAATTACAAAATTGGTCATCTTACCAGATAACCAGTCTTAGACTTTATCCTCATACAAAGCCTAAGACAAATCATTTTTTCCATTTTCTATTTCACTTCCATTCCATTTTTCTTTTTGTAATTCGTTCCTTTATTTCAGTTCTCTATTTACAATATTACTATGAAGGGTCCTTCGTCTTCTCGTTATTCGGAATTTGCCTGCAGGTTGTGCCGCAAAAAACATCCTCTGAAATCGTGCTGGAAATTTCGTGCCATGAACTCCGCCGAAAGGTTAAATGCGGTCAAGAAATATGGGTACTGTATGAACTGCCTGGCGCATACCCATTCACAGGGCACCTGTTTTACCACCACAGGATGTGGATATTGCCACAAAAAGCACCACTCCTTGTTACATCAACACCCAAGGTTACAAAAGGCAAAATCATCCTCGACAAAAAAGACCAATAAGACGGTTACCCCTCTTGATATCACCACCCCCAAGGACTCTTCAGCCACTACCGGCTCAATACCGAGGTCAACATCGACATCCAGTATTACCTCTTTGTCGGCACTTCTTAGGCAGAATGCCACCCCTCTTCTTCCTACTGCAGTCGTCAAAATCAACGGAGCAAATGGCACACAGTTGGCAAGGTGTTTATTGGATTCCGCGGCCCCCATGAGCTGCATTTCAAAACGCTTCGTAGATAAGCTGGGGTTGTCTACGCTCGAGTTGGAAGATGAAGTTATGTGCCCCGTCACCTTGACATCCTGCGTCGATTCCAAGACAAAAATAGAGGCTATATTGCGAATGAGGAACAGGATTGGAATTACAACTCCTAAGCAATCGCTGCCCGAGTCTTCAAAACTCAGTTTCAAAAACTTCGTCCTAGCAGATAGCAAATTCTACAAGGCAGCTTCTGTTGATATCGTCATTGGGGTTGACATATATTCCAAAATTATAGTCGACGGCATCTTTATTCGCCATGGACTTCCTACAGCTCAAAATACCCTTTTCGGATTAGTGCTATATGGAACATTTTCAAATTAATACAAATAATTGTACTCTCTTCCACCACTTTTATTCTGAATTTACGATACCTTTTTTTTTAAATACTAATATGCCAATTGAAATCACTTGAAAAGACATATTGTATTATGATATAATAAGTTATGCATTAAGTCATTTAGTCATATGAATTTAGTCCTAAATGAATTGATTATATAATTGTCATGTCCCCTTGCCATGGGGGGCGGAATGTTTACGTCAAAACGTAAACCATTTTCACTTTCTTAAATTGTATCTTAAATATGAATAGCACCATTGTTAGTGTACTATCCATTCGAACTGTTATCGAAGTTAAGATAAATATGCTATGTTTTTCCTTTTCCCATTTCCATACTTTCTTTTATCGGCCTTCTCTAATGGCCATATTGGGAGTCTAATTTCCGCATTATCTTGGATTCTATTCTAATTCGACTCTTGAACCTTACAGTCCAAATCCAGTTCAATCCTAATAAAAAGAATTCTAAAAGAACTAAGTATAAAAGCTTTTTTCATTACTCTGGATTTGGGTTCCAACCGTTTTCTACGTTTCTGCCAGTTACAACGATCTAGATAAAAACTGGTCTTGGATATTGTTTGGGCTCCAGAGAGCAAGTTTGTCCACCATCACACTCACGGTAGCTGCTTCCAAAGCTTTACCAGGCAATTCAGCCGTTTGCCTGAACAGTTGGAGATCCCATTTTTCCAACGTGGGATTGAAGGGCAAAGCATTCTGGACCATTTCCTTGCTTTCAAATTTTTCTAAAAAAATAAATACCTTCTTAAAATGTGTTTGGGTGTCCCGTTGGGCGCCACTTTTGTCAGCCCACACGAAGCCCAACATTTTCGTAAGTCGGCATTTAATGATGATCTTATGCTGCGAGTAGTACAAATTAGAGCCATTCCTACGTCTGTTTCATAGACGAATGCTATTTCAATGTTCAAAGCATAAAGTGGCGCCCAATCTGAAAAAAAACAGAACATCGGCGACAGGTGGGTTTCTATGAAGACCATTGCTTTCTTCAATTGATGTTATGCATCACGGTGTCCACATCGAATGGCTTCTATATGCTTCCTTGAAAAAAAACCAAGAAGGAGAGCGAGGCGAGAGAGAGAGAAAGCTATGAGAGGTCAACGTGACCCAAGAAAAGATATGCACTTCAGTTAAAAATCCGACCTTAAATAGAGTCATAAAATCTCTGAATACATTTTCCCACAAAAAATGGGTACTTTTCTCTTCTCTTTTCAGGTTAAAAATCCAATTTTCCCTCTCTCTCCCCCAATACGCAATGTAGGGTACCCCAATGCAAATGCATCCTCGATTTTCTAACAAGATTTCCAGCAATTACATTGACTTGGCCTTTTATTGCCGGCAATAGTTTGTGTTCTCCATTTATTTTTTGATACTTGAAAACTAGTTCTACTCTAATTTGCTGAATATTAAATTAATGCGCTGCCTCATGAAGCTGCAACAAATCATAGCGAGCGCTAGGCAGACAGACAGGCGGAGAGTTCATGTTTATGCAGGCAGGCCATCAAACCATTTGAAATATGTTGCAGGTTAGGGGCAACAAATGTTGGCTGTGCTCTTTGCCTTGCAGCTACTTGGGAAGAGGCATTTATTAGTGTTTATTACATTACGGATTACTAATTGCCGCAATGTGCAAAAATGACAAATAATACATTAATAATTTTTTCGGATAGAGTTAAGGCCACCAGGCAGACGGTCAAGTCAATATTTGGACTGGAAGTAAAGAATGAGAAATAAATTTGAGATAATTTTTTTACAACACCTTTCAAATTCTTCGTATGTGTAACTTTAGTACTTTACGTTGGGCGCCACGCCCCCACATGAAGAGGAGCATCTTTTGAATTCGAAAGAAAAAAATATATATTATCAGACTGAGTGTAGACCCGGAATATAGACCGATTCCAAGGTTTTTCTTATGCACGAAATCATATTTCAATGTTCAATGCATTATGGCGCCCAACGTGGAATTGAAGTCGGAATAATTTCCTTATTAAATTGCCCAGAATAAACGTGGATTTTTTAAATAATATTTTTCAAGGACCAATAGGCCAATAAACGTGGATTTTTTAAAGAATATTTTTCAAGGACCAATAGACCAATAAACGTGGATTTTTTAAGGAATATTTTTCAAGGACCAATAGGCCAATAAACGTGGATTTTTTAAAGAATATTTTTCAAGGACCAATAGGCCAATAAACGTGGATTTTTTAAAGAATATTTTTCAAGGACCTTCAAACAAATAAACGTGGATTTTTTAAAGAATATTTTTCAAGGACCTTCAAACAAATAAACGTGGATTTTTTAAAGAATATTTTTCAAGGACCTTCAAACAAATAAACGTGGATTTTTTAAAGAATATTTTTCAAGGACCTTCAAACAAATAAACGTGGATTTTTTAAAGAATATTTTTCAAGGACCTTCAAACAAATAAACGTGGATTTTTTAAAGAATATTTTTCAAGGATTAACAGATCAATAAACGTGGATTTTTTAAAGAATATTTTTCAAGGATTAACAGATCAATAAACGTGGATTTTTTAAAGAATATTTTTCAAGGATTAACAGATTAATAAACGTGGATTTTTTAAAGAATATTTTTCAAGGATTAACAGATCAATAAACGTGGATTTTTTAAAGAATATTTTTCAAGGATTAACAGATCAATAAACGTGGATTTTTTAAAGAAAATTTTCAAGGATTAACAGATCAATAAACGTGGATTTTTTAAAGCATATTTTTCAAGGATTAACAGATCAATAAACGTGGATTTTTTAAAGAAAATTTTCAAGGATTAACAGATCAATAAACATGGATTTTTTAAAGCATATTTTTCAAGGATTAACAGATCAATAAACGTGGATTTTTTAAAGCATATTTTTCAAGGATCTTAAGACAAATAAAAGTGAATTTTTTAAAGAATATTTTTCAAGGACCTAATGAAGCGTGAATTTTTAAAAAATATTTTTTTCAAAGACCTAATGAAGCGTGGATTTTTAAAAGATATTGTTTTCAAGGACCTAATGAAGCGTGAATTTTTAAAAAATATTTTTTTCAAGGACCTAATGAAGCGTGGATTTTTAAAAAATATTTTTTTCAAGGACCTAATGAAGCGTGGATTTTTAAAAAATATTTTTTTCAAGGACCTAATGAAGCGTGGAATTTTAAAAAATATTTTTTTCAAGGACCTAATGAAGCGTGGATTTTTAAAAAATATTTTTCAAGGACCTAATGAAGCGTGGATTTTTAAAAAATATTTTTTTCAAGGACCTAATGAAGCGTGGATTTTCAAAAAATATTTTTTCAAGGACCTAATGAAGCGTGGATTTTTAAAAAATCCTGTACCAACAGACCAACATTGCTCTTTGAAAAATATTGAAGGACTTCCTGTGTATTTTTTAAAAATATTTGTCAAATACCAAAAGACCACAAAACGTCGATGTTTTCGGAACATCTCCAAAGTTTTATTGATTTTTAGAGAAAACAGCAGATCCTAAGCCTATATTTAAAAAAATTTATATCTCTATTTTAATTTCTCTTCAATAATTAATTACCTGTTGCCACATTTTCATTAAATTAGAAACCGGGCCGTTAGTCGAAGATAAATGATCTGCTTCATTACACGGTTACAAGGCGTCACATGGTATTCGCCGTTATGGTTAAGCATCTTCAATCAATTTTCTCTTCTCGCTTTTTTTGTTGTTGTCGATTTTCATTTGTTTGTTCTGCTTATTTAAAATCATAATAATAATGTAACAACTTAATGTGTCCATGGATGGCGAGCACAAATATTGGAATTGGAAACATGTTTCCATTACGCCAAAGATGGAGTCAATATGCCACAAATTAACATATGCTTGTTATGTTGCACGGGGGAAAAAGTAGCAGCTATGTGGCAGTGATGTGGTTAACTACCTCTGGAAGGAGGGGAAGACGAAAGGGGTCTACAACAAATTCCAATGAATCCAAATGACGGTTGCACATTATTATCTTATCCTGCCACAGCGAGTGCATAGATAATAACCGTAGACGCCAATGCATTATTATTGGCATGGCAAATTTGATTGATTTGATGTCGCATGTTTGGGAGGCAGATGGAGCGGCAGCTGAGGCAGCAGCACCGCATCTAAGCTCCACCATAAACTCGTCATATTAATCTTATTTAATTAAAGCTCAACAAGCACAGCCACAGCATACCCAGCTGTTGTTGAGGCATCCCAAAAAAGCACACACACACACGCACACTCACATATCCATATTCACACGCTCACACAAATCAGAGCAAAGAAAATCAATTTGGAGTAAACGACAAATGTAAGTAGTTGAAGAATTCATGCTTATATGCCAGCCGGCCGACCAAACAACCAACCGACATACCATATTTACAACAGTCAAATATAACAGTTATACCACATGAAATCATCCTCAGGACCAGCAGCAGCAGTAGCAACAACAACACCAAGCTCCAAGCTACAACATCAAGTATTGCAAATAACTACCAATGTTTGCTGCCATCAAACTGCAACTCATTTAATAAAGAAGATAAGAAGGAGGAGATGTGTAGACGAAGAAGGAGCGGAGATGGGAGGATAGGTTGGCCTGGCCACAAAGATTTAAGAGTGCCACTAAATGCAATGTTCGTAAAATAAAAGCGTTTTCAATTTGCAATACACGCAGTGTCTTTACAAGGCTAAGACAATGAGAGAAGGACACGCAGAAAAAAAGTTTTTCAGAAAAAAAGATATGAAGGGCCTCCGAGGAAATTTCCTAGGGAAAAAAAATTTATAGCCTCCGAGGAAATTTCCTATGGAAAAAAGTTTAAAAAATATTCGTAAAAAATGCTAGTTTATTTGGTGAAGATGGGCCTTGAAAATATCCTTTTAAAAATCCACGTTTATTGCTAGGAAGGTACTTAAAATGAATTATTTTAAAACCCACGTTTTTTTACGAGGAAGGTGCTTGAAAATATTCTTTTTTAAATAATCCACATTTATTTTTCAGAAGGTAATTTAAAGATATTCTTTACAAAATCCACGTTTAGAGGTCCACGATCAGAGGTCTGAAGGCCATTAAAAAATCTTCCTTAAAAACCAATTTTATTTGATAGAAGGTCCTTGAAAATTATTTTTTAAAAATCCACATTTATTTTTCAGAAGGTCCTTAAAAAGTTCAAATTTTTTTCAAAATACTCGTTTATTCCGAAGAAGGTCCTTGGGAAGGTCTTTTACGAATATTTTTAAATTCGTGGGGAAGGTCCTAGAAAAATATTCTTTAAAAAATCCAGGTTTATTTTTCGGAAGGTTTTTGAAAAATATTCTTAAAATCCATGTATATATATATCAGAAGGTCCTTGAAAGTTTTTCTTTAAAAAATTCTCGTTTATTTGACAAAAGGTTCTTAAAAAATATTCTTTAAAAAATCCACGTTTATTTTTAGAAGGTCTTTGAAAAATAATTTTTAAAAAATCCAC